CGCCCGGATATTCCAGACTTAATGACTATGTCGCGCTAGCAACTGTTACTCTCAAAAACACAAACGATGCTTGCCATCGGTACACCCCCGAACGTTTTGCACTTACAAAAGATTAATTTCATTAACCCCTTGCAGTCCTGCCGAATATCCTTTCCGCTCTAATCCCCCGAACTGCAAACTGTCGTTACGAAAAAAGGGAGACACGCTTCAACCCTGTCCCAAGCGTAACATCCCAACTCCCTGTCGGACTGCAAAGGATCGAACGCCGGAAATCGGTCTCCTTGTCAGACTCGTCGCGTCTCGTACCCAAACTTCGTACAGAACACATCGAGAGCAGAGAAAAATCGAGAAGTATACGGATATTCAATCGTCGGCGGTTTGTTGATTGATCCAGCGCCGCGACAGGACCAGTTGTCCCGTCTACCAAGAACTATCGGTTGCTCGTTGGGGCCCGTTTCCGCGAGAATTCGAACGAACACGTTGCGTCAGCTGACGGGGCTGCGTCTGTCGATAAGAAAAGCTCGGCGAGCAACGTCTCTCACGCGGCGAAAAGACGCGTCGTTAACTGTTCATAAGGCATGGCCTCGGGAACGCTGGGTATGAACCGATCTGGAGTGCGTTCTTTGGGCCAGTGAAGGGAGGAAGGAAACACTGCCGCCCTTCGGCACGTCTCGCTGTTGTATGAAAATAAAGTGATCTTACGTGGGGAGGATCCTCGTGGGCCGACGGGCCGTACAACGAGATCGTTCCACGGGTCGTTCCACGGCCCGACGCCTCGGTTCTCTTGTTTCACGTTACGATAGGGCAGTGACGACTCGTCCGGACAGTTCGCAACTCGGACCTCGCGCTCGTCGTTTTCAAATCATCAATAGAACGGGCACGAGAGACACTAGCGGGTTCTATAAATCGTTTTTAGTCCATAACAAATGAGGAGGTCCGTTGCCAAACCGGGATTGCATCCTTCGAAGCAGTGATCAGTTGAAGCAGTTCGATGTATACTTTCAACGAACTGATGCTTATTCGAATGGTCTTTGCCAAATTGTCCGAATTGGAATCATTAGGGTTCGTGACAAAATTCTTGGAATTCCTTGGTAATGAGAAACACGGCGAAGGTCCAAGACCGTTCGGCTTCAGAGCTCCTCAAATAATTTCATCTTAGTCGTTAACACTGATAAAAGCCTCTAAACTTTGTCGCTGTCCCTTAAAACGCTACGCAAGCTAACATAGTAACTTTGCCTTGTACTCTTACGGTTAATACAGTTAGGAATCCAACATGGAGTCTGCCGTCTACGATAGCGTCTCGCCGTGCCCGGGCCAAGATGACGGAACGGGAGTCCCAATTCCGAAGGGGACTAAGTCGAAACTCTGCCGGTTTAGGTAAATGCGTAACTCTGCGGACGTGTTTTCTTTCCTTTTGTCGTTTCTTTTTCTTCTTTTCGTTTGCGATTGCCCTGGACGAGCCACGATCCACTCTGCTCGGTAGAAACGGTAACGGCTAAGTCTAAACGTATCAAAAAACCCATCGTCCTTTAAGGCTTGGCTTTGCGTGGAGAAGTGCGTGGAAAAACGTTCGTTTCTGGAACGTACGCAGAGCGGGAGGAAGAATGTCGCGCTTTTCTTTGGTAATACACGTACGATTATTGTAGTCATTATTAGATTACATGGCTACGAGTCGGCCCCGCGCTTCCGCCGAACGACGACTTACATTTTATTTATATCCAAGCGTTATTGTCGAAAGTAACAAACGAGAAGGACGCGCGCCTATGCTCGGCTGGGATAGGGAACACGCGGTGACTTCGGCGAGCTTCGATGAAACGGCCGTGTCACGACCGCTGGAGCAAACTCGGAGGGAAGAAAGGACGTCACAGACGAGAATCGCGCGACGTGGATTTTTGGTTGCTACGTAGATATTTTGATTAGAGAGTTTCTGTATACTGACGGTCTTGTATGAAATGAGATTACAAATGGTAATTTTGTTTGCGATCATTCGTTACTTTATCAGTTCACTGTTTATACATTCGAGAAATACCTGCGACTCGCAGTCCTAAACGATAAATAATTTAACTTTCCATCGTGTCTTAGCTTTTTCTCCACCTTCGTTACTTATCTGTTATCTATTCTGCACAATTCGAATATAAAAAAGAAAGAAATAAGACTGTACATTCGACGCCTAGGCAAATAAATAACTAAGCAGCGGAAATTTATGCATTTATAGCGTACAAAAATTTTGGAAATGCTTGTTTAAAGGCGTGGTCGTTAATCAAATCCAGTACACCAGCTTCGGTTCAATCATTTAATTGACTAAAATCATTCGTGAGAGATAGACAATTTTATTGAAAGTCAATTCCTTCAGAACTTTACAAAAATGTATATTTGCATAAATTTCCGCCGCCTAGCGGGGACTTCACGTTTCAAATCTCTTTCAGAGATGCTCGAATGAACAGGTTTGATTTAGTTCTCAGAATTGCCGTTCTTATCCACAGCGAGAGAGAGCCACCTGGCGCACCGTATCTCGTCTGTGACGAAATCGAAAAGAATCCAAGACAGTGGAAACCGAAAGAATCTAATCTACGACGCCTTAGGCGCCTTCCGCAAAGGTTCGACCTACTTAATCACACGTTTGTATTAAATAATATGGAGCCACGCAAACAAACGGTCTCGACCGAATGTCTGTTCGCGGCGCGTTGAGACGATAGTCCGGAGCAAAAAGAAAAACAAAATAACGACAGCACATCGTACTCGCCCTAGCAACCTATACTTTCTATAAGAATAATAATATAATGACCACTATTCACGTAGAATAATTAATAATATTAATATTAATAATAATAATAATAATAATAATAATAATAATAATAATATAATAATAACTAAAGGCTGAGAATAGTAGCAGTAGTGAATCGTAATAATAATAACGGTAATAGTAATTGGCGATGGTAGCAATAATATATAATAATATATCGATTGTGAAAATATCTAAGATCAATGTTACTCTCTTTTCTCTTTATCGCATTCACACCTAAGCTTTCTCTTCCGCTCAGACACTCGATTCTTTAGTCTCTCCCGGTAATACGCAAGAGCTCGCGCACGGCCGCATGTCGCGCTTGTATACCAAAAATCGAAAACAGTCAAAAAGTCTACGGAGCCGCGCGCGCGTGCGAGCGAGCCTTCGTCCGGTTCACGACTGAGGGATAAGCGAATCGCTGCAGAAAGGTGTCCCCCGTGTTCTCGTCCAGAGGGTCCGCCAACGATGGCAGTTTTGATCCAGCGAAGAAACGTTTCCCGTTCCTTCCCATCGACATCGTAATTGACAGGAGTGTTCCAGCACTCGGGCGTCGGGTTCCGCGCCCAGTCACCATCAAACAAGGAGAAAAGAAGATGAACGGTCGAGGAGACACCACAGTCTTTGAAACGCCGTAGCGTGTCCCAGCGTCGAGTCGAGTCGAGAAGCTGCCCGCCAGACGTCCGCGTCGAAGAGGAAAAAGATCCGGCAGTGAGAAGAGTAGCTTAGCGCGTCGTTGAAAAAGGTATATCCTGTTACGTCCTGAGTAGAGCGCCTCCTCGGAGACGAGAACACCGAGAAGAGCCGAAGAAGCGACCGGCTCTCCACGCCTGGAGTCACGCCACGGACTGGCGTGTCGCCTATTTCGAAGAGTTAACAAAATCGGGAGACATCAGCCCTCGGAACTGTTCCTTCCATATGGAGCCCGTGCCTGTGTTCAGGACCGGTAGATGCGGATCACGTCTTTGATCGGCGCTCTACAAAGCGGACAATGGCCGCCGCCTTTGCCGCACCACTGCTGAATGGCGCAAGGGTAACACATGCACATGTGTCCGCACATGTACAGCACGCTGTCGATGCTTCTCTCATAGCAGATCGAACACTCGCTGGGCTGTCCTGGCGTTGGTTGAAGACCTTCGCTCCATTGCTGCAGATTCACTGGCTCCACGTAGGTCGAGGATCCTGTACTAGCCATAGTGCCTGTCAACGGAGGCGAGGATTGCCTAGAGGATCCCGGATGCGCCGATGCCACAACGTTCGTCGGATGATGCACGTGAGGATTTCTGTGTCCAGCGGAGGCGTACGTGGGCTGAGGCGTGGTGGAAGGCGGCGTAGGGTAAGTCTGCGGCGGTAGGTTCACTACGAGGACAGTACCGCCCCCTACAGCTGGCTTAAACTGAACTACCTCGGAGAATCTGGACAGTTCTGTGGCAGCGTTACTGTGATTCGAGTGTTGTTGTTGCTGCTGCTGCTGCTGCTGCTGCTGCTGCTGTTGCTGCTGTTGTTGTTGTTGCTGGACAATGGTCGCTGGTGAAGGATTGCTCTGTCTTTGCCTCGGTGGCGACGTTGGCTTGCTGGCCAACATTCTCACCATCTGCGTGCTGCCGTAGACGTCTACGAACGCCCAGAGCTGCAGGCTCTGGTCGACGTGCATCACTACGTTCGGTGGACCATCATTTTTGCTCATTTGCACCTCACCGAAGTGGGTCACCGTGAATGCTATCTCATCCTCCGGCTGTGGACTGGAGGCCACGTCCTTCGAGACCACCCAGTACTCCGGACGGTCCAATAGGAGATCGCTGTCGTCCGGCAGATCTTCCGCTGTTAAACGGGCTGGATCGCAAGAGGTCAGGCCCAGGGCAAGAGCGCCCACGTACATCGGTTCCGTTGAGAGGATCTGCACGACCAGCCGCTCGCCGAGCACCAGCGGCCGGCTCGTGAACACGTACCCATGACAGAATTCCGTGTCGCTGCGCACCGCCACGCACTGCTGGTTGCTGAAGTAGATGTTCCTGCCGCGGGTCCTGGGGACAGACGGAAACGAGAAAACGATTAGCAGATTGTTCGCTGCGGAACGAGACTCGGAGAGGATCTGGTTGGAGATTTTAATCTTACAATGACTCGACAATGAGGTGACTAATTGTATTTAACAGTAAAACTACCGAGCAGTTAGACTGACTTATTTCTAAGCTTTTATGAAAGTCTGTTCTCAGTTTTTTATAATATAAATAGGAAATATATAAATGGAAATTGAATTCCAGGTTACGAGTAGGAGAGAAAAGGGAAGACTTTCGAAGGTACGATTTAAATCTTTGATCTCACAAGAAGTAGAATTTGAACTTGTATTCGGTAAATACCGAAAATGGTATATCAAAGAGTTTTTCCGCGGAAGCTGTCGATCAATTAAAGTATACGTGAGATTAATTTGTGATGGACTCCCATGGGAAAAGCTGATTGGTATTCAATCGAGTCGATGCTAGTTAAAATTGGTTGGACGTGTGAAGGACATCGAATTCGGTCAGGCAAGAAATAGCACCGGAAACAGATTATAACTGTACTTCTTGTTAATAACTCAGAGGAAGATGATTGTAATCAGAGAATTTTAAATGAGAGAATATAATATGATATAGTATATTCGAATCGGTAGGAAGAAAATAGTGTTCACATGAAAAGTCACTATTTAATTTAAATAGAACAAAGACTAGTAACTTCGATGATTTATATATTGCCAATCTTCTTCATTGGTTTGTACTCAATATGTATCATCTAAATTTCTTTGGTCGGACTATCTGTTGCTAGGAGACACTATTGGGCAACTAGGTCTTCGAATATTAGAATATTCGAGTAATAGAGAAATCCTATTGTTCTACATTTAAATTAAAAGTCTAGAAAGCAACTTTAATTACATACAAATACAGTACGACCTCCATTGACAGGATTAAGATTATCCGCTGTGTCGAACATTCAGGTTCTCAGTTGTTCAGAGACTCAATTCCTAGCTTATATGTATACGATCGGATTTTACAAATATGCTTTCAGTAATTTCTTCTTGCATCTCAATACCAAACCTGTCCATCTTCCAATTACTCCGGATAATCGAGTTTCTATTAAATTAACCCCCCGTCTGATATTATCGAGTTAGCCACGAAGATTTCAAATAAAATTTAATTAACACGAATATTATTCATTTCTTTGAACAGGAAATGAAAATATTCATTTTCTTTTATCAATATTGAATGTTCCAAGTGAATCTACGTGTACACTGAACACAGGATCCTTTCTCTTTTCTGCAAATTCTCTGTGTTTCAATAATAAGTCAGACTCGAATTTCATTCCATTCTACTAAAATTATTTGTAATCTCATAACCATTTCACGCATGAGTACAATTTTAGTACTTTCTAAATGTTCTCATATAACTAGTAAATTGGTACACTGAACTACTGTCGAATAAAGTCACATTGACATAGGATCCAGAATGAAAAACCAAGAACACTTCAGATCGCAAAGGGTTCCAATTAGTTCACATAGAAGAAAAATTAAGTGTCCACTTCAGAGTACACTTGATGTGCATTTAAAAGTAAACTTCAAATCTCCGTTTGAGAGTAAAGCTGAGGTATCCATTCAAGAGTTGAGAGTACATAAAACTACTCTAGTGACTCTAAAAACCATGTCTCACAAATGGATATAGCATCGAAACTACCGGTGATATACAGTGCTCTCGAATAGTGCCAACATAGTATCTTGTAATGCCTGCATTTAATAAGGTATTACAATAACAAACAAACTGAATGAACACCTAGCCTCAATCCCGATTAGCAGACGTCAAAGAAACAAAAGGGGCCGCGGTGTCTATTACACTTACGGGTGGAAGGGTAACGGCCTGAAGATGACACCAGGAGGCTGAAACCTGAGCGCTGGCAGTTCGACGTCGATGTCATGGATCGACAAGTTGTGCATGGTCGGTACCACTGACTCCATCGCTGACTGCCTGCTGTGCTGCGTGTTGTCCTCATTGCTGTGCTCAGCGCCCCTTCTGATGTTATTGAAGTGTTGCCTGTTAGGATCGACGAACTCGATCGCGGTGCTGTTGCCGTACACGTCGATGATGGCCCATAGTGGACCCCGAGTCTCTACGCCGCTGAAGAACAACCCCTTCTCTTCGCCGTTGACGCCGAAATGGACATCGCCAGCGGATGTCACGTAATAAAAGAGCACCGTGTCCCGTTCAGCTAACCTTTCGGCTAGAGCCTTCGCCCAGTAACCGGGTTTGTTCGTCAGATCTGGACAGGCGTACCTGGGCAGGCCATTCCTGAGGTTGATCGGGTCGTTGCTCGTGAAACCGAATCGTATTACGCCGCTCCAGTTGTCGGAGATCTCGAGGAATTTCACGCAGACCTGCAACAGACCAGGTGGATCGTTAATGACAAGTTTAATTGACGTTAAGGACGAATTGAACGGAAGATAATTGCGCGGAATGATTAAAGTAGGGCAGTCCGGGATCATTGTTGCTTGCAGCGGAAGGAGATGAGCAGGGTGACGCGTATTAGGGATTTTAGAGTTAATTTTTTGTACTCGAAGCAGTTTCAATAGAAACATATTCATGTATAAATAAATGGTACATGCAACAGAAATCACAGATGTATTTTATTGTCTTTTCAATGAAAACCGTTAAATAAACCTAACCAATGGGTTACAGATACCAATGTTACTACATATTTAACATCTTGTCTTATAATAACATGTGAAGATTTCAAATAGAATTTAGCAAACACAAATATTATTCAACTCCTTTGAATTAAAATGAAATATTATTTTTCTATTATCAATTATTATATTGTAGAATAAATACAGACATAGAATAAGCATTGAATTTTTCTCTTTTTGCAAAAAATTATTACTGACAAAGTTATTGTATCGATCACAGTTGAAAAATGAATCATAAGGCAACGAGTTAATGACAACACTTTACAGTTTATAATGACTCCGCTGCGGAGCCGTCGACTGCAAATGCTTACGTCTGTTTCAAAGTTGCTTGCTGTAGTAACTTCCATGTTGAATAGTTATGAATCTTGTTTTTGAGATACGTTTAGAAGTAAATTCAATATTTGTTTGGAAGAAGTGATGGTTATTAATGACTCTTATTAGCTCAGATGTAAATAATCAATTTTGTGAATATTTCGGTTGGTTTAATCTTGATGTAGTTTATTTGATTTATTTAATCTACTAACTCTGATCTACTAAACTTCACGTTTTCGTAACTCTTTATTTTTTATTTATGTTATTTAGACTTCTTTCATTGAGATAAAAGATCTGCTTTAATAGAAATAATATCACTGTTGCAAGATGTTTACGATCACTGATTCAGGTTAATGTACTTTTGTTGGGTTTTTAAGAACAGATTTATTTAATGTAGAGTCGTAGTAATTAAAACAATTAGGATAGCTGTCTGACTACGAAGTTTTCAAATAAAAAAAATAACTTGGAAGATCTACATCCAAAGAATAGAACATTCTCCAGAAATTTCTGACCAAGTATTGAAAGATCATGCATCAAAGAGGACACGCCTGGACGGTATTCCTCATAAGGCCCGGCCGTGACCTACAAATTGACCATAAGAATCCTTCTAATGGGGACTGAGCTACCTAAACACATTGACCTCACGTTCCTAGAACTACTTAGCTGAAAACTACAATTCTTGCACAGTTGAAGCCACCACACATTACCACTTACTATACTACTTTTATCATTTTAATTCCTACAATTAATTATTCTCTGAAAAATTAGAATTCTTTTACAATTCAAATAATTCTGATGTTTTTCTATACTAGATTACCACTGGAACTACTGGGCACGTCGAAATGATTCCTTATTTCTTCCTTTTGCAATTACTGAAAAGATAACAGGCGATTCTCCAAAAATTTCTAAATATATTAATTGAGCAATACGTACATTGAACTGTAAATCAATAAAATTCTCAATAGATACACTCTTGGAATTTAAATAGGACAATTTTGAAAAATCTATTTGACCGTATTGTAGCTGTAGTATTAATGTTTATTGTAGATCACTGTTTCTTACTTGAAAACATTAGAATTAAAGTGTTTTAAAAATTCTGAAAAATAATGAAGTGATTAGAGGTATTCAAATGTATTGAGAAATTTCGCTGCAATTTGAATGATCTATCTTCGAAGATCAATCGAAATCGTGAGGGAAGAAAGGATTCAGAGGCAGGCGTGAATTTCCAACGATCGCGAGTCTCGCAACGAGACACTGGCACCGGTGTCACGCGAATATTGATCGCCCCGTTGCATAATTTAAACCCGGTGGTCTATAGGTGTCGATTCCGCGTCGACGGCGTGGAATTAAATCAATCTTCATATTTCTCAAAAGCGAACTGCTCTGACTTTAATCTGCTGTCGTGTGTCTTTGAATGATTGGGTCTATTTTCGGATTTCTGAATAGAATTATAGCTCGCACAACGAAGTTGAGTTATACTCATGAATACAGAAACAATTCATTGTAATTATACTACTCTCTGAGAAATAATTTAAATTTTCTCCCTCCAGTGAGTAACTTTTCATAACTCAATTCAAATGTAGAGAACTCAATTTCTTAAAAAATAAATATAATAGGCAACAGAAACTAATTTTGGCAATATCCAAGTCTGCGAAAGCTACAAATAATCTTACATTAACCCTCTATAGGCCGAATTTTTGTTCGTGACTATAAAAAAATGTATGAAATTAATAAATTCAATAGTTTTAATAATTGTATTCAAACGAATATACCTTGTCATTCTGAAATTACAATGACGAACTTTCACGCCTAAGCGTATAACAGTTTAAGTTAATTAATTACTTAATTTTATTCGCCACTTTTCTATGCAAAATGAAATGCAATAAGATGCCAATACACTAGCATATGACTTCAAAGTTAAAGCCTATAGAGGGTTACTATCGACATTCGTCAGATAATCTTAACCCCTTGCCTTATAATAACGTGTGAGACTGGAGGTGAAGATTTTAAATAGAGTTTAACAAACATAAAGATTACTCAATTGTTTTGAATTCAAATGAAATATTATTCTTTAGTTATTAATTATTATACTGTAGAGCAAACGTAGATACAGAATACACATAGAACTTCCCTCTCTTTCCAATAAATTATTACTGACAAATTTGTTGTATCTATCACAAGTGAAACATAAATCATAGGACAAGGGGTTAAACATTTAATTATCTTATTAATTTAGACATCAATTGGAAGATGTATTTATTATGAATCGAATACGTTTCCCCTATAAACAAGAGAAACAGTATTAATAGATTAATCAAGGTAGTTATGTTTGTGTCAAAAGCTGTTAGTCACAAGCTTCTTCGTTTCAGGTTTGTCTAGATATCATCGCAATTTTTTTGGACCCGTCGCAGAATAAAAGGCTCTATTTCGCTACCAAGTTCGGCCATGTTATATCACGAGCCGGAACGTGACGGAAATCCCAAAGGCGATAGTTAACGGTGGGGAAACGGGTTACGAAATATCGGGTTCACGTCGAACAATGTTCCTTTTCGTAGAACGGAAAGTCTTTACCGCGGTTTTGTCTTTTCAAACAGCTGTTTTTACGGCCGCTGGCTGGCTACGGAACGCCGGAACGACACGAATGGCCGATTCGCGAACGATTCGAGGGAAAAATGAGAGCTCGAGACAATGGAAATGACGGCTGGAGAGAAACTCGCTGAAGAAATTGCTGTTTTCTCATTACAACCTGGTAAATAGTAAAAATAAATAATTAAACTGTCCTATTTCGTAGACAACGGCGCGTTTCACTAAAAAAAACTACGATTAATTGAGAAATTTGTAGATTTAAAGATTCATAGATTTAATTTAATTAACCCTTTGCACTCGATTTATTTTCAATGTCATTGGGTATAAACTTGTACTTATTTTTAATTATTGTTATTATTATTATTATTATTATTATTATTATTATTATTATTATTATGAGATTTAATGTTTATAATCTTTTAGAGTATGGTGCTTTTTAAAACAATTTTCAACAATCGATAATAAATTTGTATTGTCATCTCCAACATGACATATGACTGCAAAGAGTTAATTAATAGAATAATTGATAGAACCAATTTCTTTCCTCGTTACTCAGTATATTAAACAAATTTTTGTGAGTACAAATTAATAAAGAAAAGGAACGATGAAATTTTGCTGGAAGGAAAAGAAATAAGAAATTTCGTGAAGAATATTATTCAGAATACCTGTGCACCCACGCGTGCTAGTTAGAAAGTACAAACATTTTTAATAATCACCTATTACGACAATCATCTTAGTGTCCTATCGTAGTTGTTGAATATGCGAACAGCCTAGCAACACCTACGAGCATCGAATTATCCAATTATTGAAAAATAATTTGTACATCGCGGTGTCTCCACGAATTTGTAACCACTGTTCTATTGTAGAAAACGATTGAGCCAGTCAATAGCTAAATCGATAAACTCTATAAAAAACTCTTTAAATAGAAAATTAAATAGGCATTATACAATTTTACTTTATTATTACAGGTCTAGTATTAATCTAATAACCATGAATGCATGAAGTAGTATGTTCTGCTAGCAATTTTTATCATTATTGTAATTTGATGTGACCAAAAGAATTGTTTGTATTTTCATGGAACTAAATCCAACAATGGAAAAATTAATTTTAACTAGAACAAGTTAGAAATCAATCGCTTTAACGATAATTTAAAAAACTTGGAAAAATGGAGTTAATCTGGATAATGAGTGACTTAAATGTCGTATGATTGGTTCTGTAATAATATTTGATTGAACATTTGAACACTTTCGTTTTGTTTCGAAGAATCTTTCGCTTGTTGCAGAGAACAATCAATTCGCGCGTACCAGACAGATTCGAAGAACACCAAATTAAGACGACGGAACATTGACTCCGCACTGCGAGATGATAATTATCACCAATAACACACCCACATTGATCGATTCATGACAGAAATCGAATCGCTGGCGATCGTTCCTCGCGGAATGGTGAAAATCTAATTCCAAGGTGTTTAGTGAAATCCACGAAGAACCTTCGAATGCCTCGCCCACGTTGCCCGACAATATTCTCCTCCTTTGAAAAGAGAGGACACGAGGACGCGAGGATGAAAGGAGAGCGGATTGGTCACGTGCGCTGATAGATGTGTGTACGCTTGTTGCTGTTAGTGCTGTGAGAACCCTGATGTTCTGAATCTTCGAATGGTTTTCCAATATCGATCCATTGTTCGAGCGTGTTCCAAACTTCGACGTGATAAAATTTGGAATTGTACCAAATGTATTCAAATATTTTTTAATTATTACTTTCAATTACTTCTATAAGTTTTTAAGAACTCTTTTCTATCATATCAAGTAAACATTGCGCTGTAAATCCTCATTAAACTAATAAATGATGCCGAATTCAATCGCTCCGTTTTCCTATTTCTAAGCAGGTATCAAAAAGGACATAAGAACAAAGAATTACAAGAGAAATAAACAAACTTAATTTGCCATTACGAACTACCTGGCGTTTAAACGTTCAATCAACAATGGCCACGTGGTAAAAATAATATTCAAATACTTCGAGACGTCGACTCATCCCATAATCAATGTCGTTCCTTACATATTTTTTAATAAAAAGTTCTCAAAAACATTGAATAATTAATCGAAAAATTAGAGAAACTCATACACAATGATAGTAAACACGTCAACTAAATAATCAATTAAAAAGAAAATGTAAGTGTGAATTCTTCACACCATCAGTCAGCATAAAAAAGAATAACATTACTTGTGGAATGACCTACTACCTGGCACAATGCGAATAACTCGAATACTTCGTACTTGTTTCGAACTCTATTTATGATACTACTTCGCTACGCAGTCTATCCGTGGATGAATAAGTTCGATATGGACAGTGGTCGCCGTCTGGTCGACAGTCGATACGCTAAACCGTCGGCCCACGCGAGATGGCTGGCCTCTTCAGGGTCGGCCACGGTTTACTAGACAGGGAAATGCAAATGACGGCGGCGGCGTCGTCGAGTGGAACAAGAGTCACCCGATTCTCACAATTAAGCGTCGCTCTAGCGTATACGATTTACCGGGCGACAGGCGGGAAACGAGGAAACGCGGAAAAATGCCGTGTTTTTTGCGCCGGGCTCGCGCGCTTTCCATCGAGAAAAACAACAAGCTGCTTCGAGCCGATTAATTATTCGACGATTGAGAATTTGTAATGACGGTGTAAGTGGAAGTTTCCTTCTTTTATTACAGATTACACGTGCGAATTGAAAAGGCCCTTTCTCTTTTTTAGCACACGCTCGTTAGGTTATAAATAGATTAATGGCACAGTTAATTAAGATTCGCGATAACACAACTGTATGGCTTATCGGCATCATCGAGGATTTTGTTAACACTAAAACGAGCAGTTAAACTGAATTTTCGAAATTGCTCTATATTCCAAGATTATCGAAGCTTTGATTGATATACAATTCAGTTTGGGTACTGGTGAATCAATTTCTTCGATCATTTCTCAGAGAAACGCCTGTTGTCTTTTTAATAATTGCAAGAAGAAGAAATCGGGAATACGTCATTTCAACCCGTTTGATAGTTTCAGTGTTAAGTATGATTTATATAGAGGGATGTATCTTATATAAACTACTGCGAAGATTTCTGAAAACGTAATCTATCGAATATTTCACATTGTAATTAGTAATAATTAGTAATGTGATAAATAATCTCAATGTAATTTTGATTTTCTGCGTTCTGATTGTTTACGTTTGGAGATTTTAATGCCTGCAGTGTCTGTAATACGACCAAAATATTAAAAATCTCTTTGTATGTAGTAGCAATATACAATTCAAAATTTTGTTGTTTAGATTTCAAGAATATCGATAGCATTTTCGGTTATTCGAATATTAACCTTACGCTATTTTCACCAAGCAAAACATGGAGAAGATACACTGAATTTAAATTGTACAGTGACTTCGGGTAACGGTAGAGATACGACTTATAACGAATAAATAAATTTACCTTTTCACCGACCCGCACCGGCCTCGCGCTGAACGTGACACCCTTGCAAAAGCTCTCGTGTCTTCTGGCGATGGTGCCGCCATTGCAGAGTCTGATATTGTCACCATGAACTTGATGGAACGTTAGTGGTGGTAGGTTGTTGGTACCTGCACTCGACGATCTTGGTGCTGTAACAATTTAAAAAATAGCCACACGTTAATCTCTACGTTTAATAAACTTTAAAATCAAGAATAAAGAACTCTTCGTTTACTGAACATAGAAATAATCTTAACAAACTTTGATGAATTCAAAAGTTAGAAGACACCATAGATAATTCTTAAATTTAAAATCCAATCGATACAAATATTTCCGATATTTTATATCATCCTTACTATCCGATTTTATTTAAAGTTTCCAAATGTCAATTATCTATAAAACAATGCAAGGAATTTATATAATTTCAAACGTTATCAAATAAATCCACGTCGCACAAACTATTTGGGAAAGGAGAACAATTTCAAAGAGACCCACCGGGTCCACTTCTAGGAAACCGAGAAAAAGGACCAAAGGAGGGAGCAGGTCAATCCAGGTCAATTCAGGTAAATCCAGAGACGAGGATTTAAATCAAATTACCCAATTTCCCACCCGAAATTCCTCACGGATAATTAATGTACGACCAGGCAAGATTACTTAGAAGAAAAGATCTTCGAATTCGAGAGCGTGGGTAAGATAGAGATTCCACTGTCTTCGAAACGCAAATGGAGTCTTTCGGTCATGGATGGTAAACCCTGAAAGAAAGTAAACTACTCGAACTTCGCGGCCCGGGAAATTCCTGCAAGCCACTCGCGAAACAAAAGCTGGGAAAGAGGGAGAGAAAGGATGCAAGATGCATATCGGAGCGAAGAGAGAAAAAGGAAAGATGGAATCCGATCGAGAAACTGAAATGCAAAACCACCTCTCGAAGTAGCTCGAGCGTTTCCACTTTGGTATTTCATAACTCCGACTTGTCGACCCGGAATGCGGGACCACTGCCAGGATATTCCCAGGGTGCAACCAGGATCTGCGTGCAACCGGGATATCATAACCGTGAAGTGGTCTTCAACCCTTTATGGAGAGTCACGTGATTTTCGTAGAACAATAGGTCCTTCTTCGTGTTTAAATTAAAGTGGGGTAATGTGGTTTTCAAGGACACTTGAATTTGAGGGAGGTTTATGACGTTCGCGATGTTTTTAGGGTATGTTTTGTAGTTTTTAGGATAAGTTTAGATATTTTCTGTTATTGTTCCTTTTGCGGGTTATTTATGGAGATGGATTTGTTAGTGATTTTTGTGGATTTGATAGATTGCAAAGGATAATAATTTCTTTTGATGTCAAGGTATTCTTTTATAAGATGTACTTTAAGAGAAATTAAAATAAATGGTTAATCAAACTTTATGAGTAATTCAATCTTCATAATTTTGTGACAGCTTCAGGCGTAGTTAAATTGGATACTGTAATTAGTTTAGTGCGTGTTTTGCCTTGGAGGAAATTGATAAGATCCAATTACGACTGTGGAGTTTCGGAGATAATATTTTATCTGCTTTCCACAGGATGAACTCAATTAAACATAAATTCTGATAAAAGAATCTGAAGATAACTAAGTGACACTATTGTACATTAAATTTTATGAACTGTAAATGTAAAATAATTAACAGTAAACAAAAGCGATATCACAATATATTTATATATAACAATACATTCTACAGAAACAGTAAACAGATTCTATCAAAAAAGAAAACTTCAACTGTCACAACACCCACGACCCCATAAACAATCAAATCAAATATTCTCCAAAGTTTACCATTCGTATTACCACGATTAAAATCTCAATACAAAAACAACAAAAAAGAACACAAAATAGCAAAACAAACTGCCCTATAGTACACACTCCCACTGCAAACCACGTCAACCAACCTCCAACATCCAAATAAT